AAAGAATAGAGCAAGCTAGTGTTAGAGGCCTTTTTTGCTTTTGTTAATTGTATAATAAATAAAAAGAAAACAAATAGATAGAATACAAAAAGAATAGAGAAGCTAGGGTTAGTTTTTTTTTTTTAAAGAAAACAAGCAGTTAGTAAATGAATAGAGTGCAAGTCTAAAAGGGGCAAGTTATATTTGCCTTTATAATCACATAAAATTGTATTATACTGAATAAAAAACAAAAACAAACTATGCTCGAGTTTGATTTAAATAAATCTTCAATATGTGTGAAAGCAAAGCACTTATGCAGGGCTTCCCAAACTGGGTTTGTGCTAATAGTAATTATTAATTAAAGCTAATAATAAATAATTATTCAATAATTAAACTATTAATAATTTTTACATTTTATAATTTTAATAATTGTACTAAAATGCAATAATAATTCATAAAGAAATAATATTTTACATAATACATTTAATAATTTAATATGTAATAATAATTTAATTCTAATAATTTATTAATATTTATAAATAAAATAAGTGATAAATAAAACAAAAACAGATCAAATAGTTTAATTGTTGTTCTATTTTATTTGTTGTTCAATTATTGAAATAATAAATTAAAACCACAGCTGGTACTTAAAGTCAATATTTTAGGTCAAACTCAATGGACTTCCTTCAGTTTTCAGGAACCACACTTTCTATCAATGCAGTGAAAGTGGAAAAACTGTAGATTATATTATTAGTGTATTAAAAAATCATATCAATTAGGGCTGCACGATTTTGGGAAAAGAAAAAAATAAGATTGCGATTAAATATGCAATCAAAATTAGGGTCAGATTTACAAATTTTCAGGTTTGCTGCACTTGTTTGTAGGCTAAATAATAATAATAAGTACCACTACTACCACATAAAAATATAAAAGTGACTAAATAAATTAGTAAATGCTATTATAGTAGTATTTCACTGCAAAAAAAAAAAAAAAAAAAAGTTACATTACAATTGTGAAATTCATTTACAAACTTTTTTTTCAGCTTCATTTTCAAACATTAAACCATCAAACTTTCATTTTGATGAAAAAAACAAACAAACAAAAAACAAAACAAAGGGAGTCCTTAAACCTTCCCTTTTTTTGATAAGCACTTCTTATTACAGGTATGGGAAGATTATTGGCGCATGTTACGTTTCCAAATAATGCAGCCCTAATATTAATATTACATTACAATAATCTAACCAAAACACAGTGTGAGAGAAAAGGGTGCTGAGAGTTCACATTCATGTTCAGATTCAGTGTGAATGCAAAGAGAACTAGACTCGTACTCCACACAGCTTATATCTGGGTCAACTGAAAGTGGTTTGAGAGGACTTCAGTGTAAGAAAACCAAACCTTAGGTATCTGTTTTTACTGAGTGTGAGCAAACCATAACTTCATTTGGAAACAAAAGCCATCACTTAAAGTGAGTTACTGAAGTCACTGAACTCCTCCAACTTTTCATCACAGCTGATTTACAGAACGATGCTACACTGCTGCAATACACACTCGAAACGCTAAAGAAATGGATGTGCAAAGACACTTGAACACGCTCACATCTCTGCAGGAATAAAAGACTGGAAGGACTAGAGAAGGACTGAATTACACAGGAACTGCTTTTTGTAGAAATAAAGCTCTTGAGCAATTGTGCTGAAGCTTATCAACGCTCCACTGACATCTATGAAAAAACTCTTCAAGCAGATGTCGATTTCTGTTACCTGGTTTGCGGTTCTTCTTGGGATGTAAGCTCAGGTTTTTATGACTGCGCTTGTGTTTCTTTGATGCTTGTATGTCGATTAATTGCACAGCCCTAAGTGAAGTATACTTTGGGCTTCAGAAACATGCATATGATGTAGGCCAGTGGTACTCAGGCTCCCTCTAGTGGTACGCAGAGGAATCACTAAATTAAATATAAATTAATGTTAAAACACAATACATTTCAATTTAATCTTTATTTATTTATTTCTTTACATTTGAGTACGGTACAGTTTTTATTTAACTTTTAGGTCATTTTAATTTAATCATTATTTAAGTTTTTTATTTACCTGTATGTAAGCACAGTGCAGTGTTAATATTCAAACTGTGTATTTACAATGTTAAAGTGGCTGACAACAACAAATATTCGTTTTTTTAACTGTGCAGAGCTGTATCTGAATAGTTAGACCTACTACGATGTATTTTAATGTTGGTCATTATGGTGGTACTTGGAGAGCCAAATATTTTCTGAGGTGGTACTTGGCATAAAACGTTTGAAACCACTGATGTAGGCGACGGTACGTACCTTTATTTTTCTGCTCGGTCTCCTGCTGGCTGCAGTTGCTTAGCGTGAGGCTACAGTTGCTGTTACTGTTGCACGACAGGTTTCCATCGAAGGCCTTGGAAGGGGAACCTGCCCCCTCTTCTTGAGTAATCTCCTGGATTTCTCCACCCAAGCTCTCCACCTCCACCGTGCTGCTGTCGGACTCGCTGTGCCCCCCGGCCTGCTCCTCCATCAGAGCTCCTGTCGGTGAAGAGACGGCTGGAGGACTGGCGGGCGGCGACGGCACTCGGACCTCGGCGGGCGACTCCGGCGTAGTCGGAGGAGTGTTGAGGACCGAATTGGTGCCGCTGCTCGGATGCTCCTGCAGCTTGTCCTCGGCGATCTCCTCGTCCCGGGAGGGTTCGATGCAGGGCTCGTCCGGAGCCGTTACGGTGGGCGGAGGTGAGTTGGCCGCCTCGGTATCCGAGTCCGAAAACAGCTCCTTTAGGGTCTTCTTGGGCCACTGAACTTGGATACTGGACCACACGTCCTTCTGGCCTTTGGTACGACAGCCAGGCGACCTTTCTTCAATCCCTGTGGATATTTTGGCTCTTTTCTCCGGGATCTCCCAGAATCCCGAACGCCCGCTTTTATTCTTCTCCTTCACTCCGTTGTATTTCTTTGAAGGCGAGCCCTTGGTTTTGGGATTTCCTCTTGGTTCTTCCTTGGTTTGTGGTTCTGTTGGAGGATCTGCTTCGTCTTCAGAGCTGCTACACGATTGAGCGCCTCTATCCTCCACCGGGCCTCGTTCTTCTAACTTTTTGGCCGAACTACTTGGCAGCCAATCGCCTCCTCTGCTGCTTCTAGTTTTGCCTTTCACTGGGCTTTTCAAAGCGCGTTCACCTTGACCTTGTGCCTTTTTTCTTCTGCCGCCAGAACCTTCGAGCTCCACCTCAAATTGGCCCTTTCTCTTGCCCGTTTCTAGGACGTTCGGCTCCTCGTCCGCAACCACGGGAGCTTTGAAGGCTTCAGACGGGCTTCCGCTCTCCCAGTGCTGTGGCGTAAGCGGGCGCTCTTCAGAAATCATTCTAATATGCTGATTTGCTGCTCAAGAAAATATTTGTCATTTATTATTATCATTTATTATTATCAGTGTTGAAAACAGTTGTGCTGATTCATATTTTTTGTGGAAATCATGATACATTTTCCTGGACTCTGATGAATAGAAAGTTTACTTGAAATCAAAATATTTTGCAACTTTATAAATGTCTTTACATTCACTTGATCAATTATGCGTCCTTGCAGAATAAAAGTATTAATTTTCCCAAAAAATTATCTTACATAAAGAATCTTACATGTCATGTCTTTAGCGTCAGTCATAATTAATTTAAAGCATCCTTGCTTATTTAAAGTATTAATTTCTTTAAAAAAAATGACTGAATGGAACGGAATTGAATGGTGGTGTAAATAGGCAAAAAATAAATAAATAAATAAACAAATAAATGAGACTTTTCAAAAAAAAAAAATTTCAAGTTTAAAAATTGCTTAATATTACCAAGATTTCCATGATTGTGGGAACCCTGTAGTAAACAAGTACGCTAAAAGGTGAAGTGTGCCATTTCTTTCT